ATTTGGGGTCCAGGAGGCTGCAAATCCCCACTGGGGCACAAACTGGCCTTGCCCAGGGTGGTGTGAAGGGGAATTGGGACAAAGCTGTTCCCTTCAAGGCCCTGGGAAGGCTCTGAGCTTTATGGGGCAGCACCGGGGTGGCCGTGGGGATCTGGATGAGCCCCACCAGCATAAACCATGAGGAGAAGCCCTTTGGGATTTACGGATGCTGGAGGGGGCTGTGAGGCACAGGGGCTCGTCCTGGGGATCCTGGAGGTGGGAGCAGCTCTGATTCCGGCCAGGRATGCTCCAGGCTGGATCTGCTGCTSCTGGAACAAGTACTGAACCATGTCTTGGATGATCCATCATGAAAAACCTGAGCAGGAGGGATGGGTTGGGCTTTGCTCTCCGTGTCCTTCTCATYTTTAATAAGAGAGGGCTCTGAGGTCCCTTGTAAAACCCCTGTCCATGCCTTAACCCCGCTCCTGTCAGGAATGGGGTCCGTGAACACACCGTGACAGCTCTGTTCTGTAAAAACATCACTGCCATGATTTACTCCTTCCCCCTGCTCACATCACGGATAAACTCACTGTCAAAGCTGTCAACTGCGAGAGAAAGAGAGAGAGGAGAGAGACAGAGAGGGGAAAATGCCTGGGATCAGGCAAGAGCTTCCCCAGGCCCTGCTGCAATCGGGCATTAATGGGCCATCACTGAGAGTTTAATTAAAATAAAGCCAGGCTCATGCCAGCACTCAGCCTGGCGCTGTCTGGCACAGGGAACCTGGAGGGACTGAGCTCGGAGCAAGAAAAAATTCCTGTTTGATTTGCTCCTTGCAGCTGGGATGGGCTGGAATAATTTTTGTTATCATTTATGTTATTAATTATGTTATAATTTATGTTATCATTTATGTTATCATTTATATTATCATGTATGTTATCATTTATGTTAGTAATTATGTTATAATTTATGCTATCAATTATGTTATCATTTATATTATCATGTATGTTATCATGTATGTTATCAACAATGTTATAATTTATGTTATCATTCATGTTGCCATTTGGTTATCATTTGTGTTATCATGTTATCATGTTACCATGTATGTTATCAATTATGTTATCAAATATGTTATCATTTGTTACATACACATGTATAAATAATTTATGTTATGTATATATATGTATACATTTATATCTCATTTTATATAAATAATATTGACTGTATTAAAAAAATAAAAAGATATATATCATACATATATATACATATATATAATTTATGTTATGCATATATAACATTTATCATTAATGTTAGCATTTGTTATCATCTATGTTATCATTTGTGTTGTGCTATCATTTATGTTATCATGTATGTTGTCATATACATATATGTCATTTATGTTATGCATATACAGAAATAATATTGCCCAGGGAATGTTCACGTTCCCAAAGCTCACAGGGTGTTTGCACAGGGAGGGATTTTGGGGTGTCTGTGCAAGACCAGGGCTTGGACTGGATGATCCCATGGGTCCCTTCCAGCTCAAGATATTCCACAAAAAAGATTTCACCCTGAATTTCCTCCCCTAACTTCTTCCTGTGGAGCTGGCTGGGATTTTTTTAAAGGATTTCCCCAGTCCCAGCCGCCGTTCCAATTCATTTGTTGCTCACCTCGCTGCGCTCCACATGGCGTTTATCCAGTTTTTATTTATTTCAATTTTTATTTCAGTTTTTATTTCAGTTTTTATTTCAATTTTAATTTCAGTTTTTGTTTCAGTTTTTATTTCAGTTTTTATTTCAATTTTTATTTCAGTTCTCCCAGGGTTTTGCATTTCCACCCAGGGGATGATCACACCAGCTCAGCAAAGGATGGCACCAAAATAAAGAGCCCGGAGAGCGGCGATGGGAACGGAGAGATGGGAACAGGCAGGGAGGGAGGGGAAGGCTGACAAACAGAGCTCAGAAAGAAGAAAAATCACTTTTTTCCTTTCAATTCTTCAATGGTGCCACAAAGGGAGCATCAAAAATCACAAATGTGAGGCTGTCGAGGCGCCCGCCGGTGTCTTGTGGTGCCGATTCCCTTTGAGCCGCGATTACGGAGTCGAAATTTGTTCCCATTCCCCATCTGCCCGGAGGGGCACGCACGAGATTTGGTTACAAACCTGATTTTTGGGGTTTATTCCTTTCTTTTTTTTCCTTGTGSCATCAAGGTGTTGCTGTTTGATGTGTGTTTGGCTCCTTCCCCTACTCTCCTCCCTCCTGGAGTAACAGAATTTCGGAGGCGCTGCCGTTCCCTGAGATCTCAGCTCACAGCTGGGTGGGAACTCGCTAATTAATTAATAAATAAATTAATTTTTTATTCTTTCCTTTCAGCTGGAGCCCAGCTGCTGCTGGTGGTGTCTGTTCAGCAGGGAGAGGGGGAGCTGTGGGAGGCAGGGAAGGATCCCAGATCCCCAATTATTGCTTCCATCATCCTTCAAACCCCACCAGCCTTCCCCTAAATCAGGAATTTTTGGGTCCAAACCTCCCCAAAGAGCTGTTTTTTTGCAGCCACACATTGAATTTATGCAGGTGCCTATTTTTAGCAGGAGCAGAGGGAGAGCAGAGGGGAGAGCAACTGTTCCCTGGCCCTGGGCAGCACCAGGACAGATCTGGGATTTGGGATTTGAGATTTGGGATTTGGGATTTGGGATTTGGGATTTGGGGTTTGGGATGAATCTGTGCCCAGAGCAGCTGCCCCAGCCCTGCCCCTCCCACACACACAGGGCTGCAGCATGTTCAGACAATCTTCCTTTAATACAAAGTCAATATATCTACATACACCGTGGTATGAAAACCACTTGACTGTTTCAGTTTGAAATAACAGTGTGAAAGCAACAGCACTTTGCTCTCATACAAAGGAAAAAACCTCCCCCCTCCCCCCAACTTTGTCCAGTAAGATTTTGCTGCAACATACTTAGAAATTTGGGCAACTTTCACACAAATAAGTAAAATCTCGAAGAAGCCTTTCAGTCAGTTCTTTTTTTTTTCTTTTTTTTTTTTTTTTTTTTTTTTTCTCCGTTTAAGACAGGAAATGGGTTGTGTGGGGGGTTCTGGGCAGCACTTGATGGCCATGATTACCCCTTCTAGAAAAATAAAAAAAAAATAAAAGGAAAAGGGTGGAGGTGAGCAGAGTTTGGGGCAGGGTGGTTTTTCCCAAATATCCCGTGCAGGAAAATTGCTGCAGAGACAGCTTGGGCTGGGACCTGCATCACATTTGGGATGGGAAAAACATCTGATGGGTGTCCAAAATCCAAAAAAAAACTCTGTCTCCAGTCAGCCAAAGCCACTGGTGGTGTTGGATCTCCCAGTTCAGCCCTGACCCTGCACGGCCACAGCTGAAGGGGAAGGAGTTGGCACTGCCACCCCATTTCTGCTCCCCCAGCCYTCCAGGGATGTGGGATATGTCTGTGACTGAGAACAAAAAWAMCCMAMAAAAWWAWWAAAAACAATTAAAAAAAAATAAATCCAGAAAGGACGTTTTGTTCTTACATGAGCAAGTTAAACCTTTTTAAATGGTAGAAAAGCAATATGTAGAAGTAGCAATTTGCACTGCATTTTTATATATCACAGCCATTACACGTAACATTTCTACAGTGAAAAAATAGACTGTCTTTGAACATAATATGAACAAATAAGCAAATTTTTCTTTTTAAATTCATCGACTGATATTCTTTGTCTTTCTTTTTTTTTTTTTTAAAAAAAAAAAAAAAAAAAAAACACTATTAAAAAAAAAAAAAAAAAAAGGTAATGTCACTTGTTACAGTTACATCGATTACTTTAAAGAAAGCCACTCACAGTATTTGCCATTGGATGCACCTTCCTGGATCTTTCCCAGTTCTTTTACAGCTGGGGTGTGTTGGGGACAGTGGGAGCTGTGCGAGGTCCTGAGAGGAGCTCCCGAGAGCTGCTGAGTTCAGAGATGAGGGGCTGGCCCTGGAGCCAGCTGGGTGCTGGAAATCAACCCCTCCCGGTGATTTTGGGGCTCCTGGTGGGGAGGTGCTGCTGGCAGGGAGGTGCTCCCAGGCAGGAACGGGGCGACACGGCTCGGGAGAGGGGTGTGAATGTGCAAAGAGCCCGGGGAAGGGGCTGCCTTTCTTTTTTTGGGGATCCCACCCTGCTCCAGGGACAGCCAGATGTGCTGGGAAGGGGCCCAGACCTTGCAGTCAGAGACCCCAACCCAAGCAAGGGGAGGGGGCCACCCCCCACAGCCAGCTCTGGGGGTCGTAACTCTTCCGCTCTTTCTCTTTACCCTTTGAAATACCCTAAAAAATAAATTTTGGAATTCGAAGAAATGAGGAATGTTCCAAGTATTCAAAATGTGAGAGCTATAAAACCTCTGGCGTGGCAGGGGCATCCCGTGAATGCTGTTTGCAAGGTGCCTGCAAGCCCAGAATCCTCCCAATGCTGATACTGAGGTTATTAAGACTCCAGCTAGAAGAACTCCTGACCCTAAGTTTACCCTAAAASTGTCGAGATTTGAGCTCCTTCTCATTCCCAGAACGCCTTCAATCCTGCAAGTGACTTCCTTTAAAGACTGCCAACTAGATTAGTAAAGAAACTGAACTCTAATGATGTAACCAAAGTCGKTTTTTTTTTTTGTTTTGTTTTGTTTTCCTTCCCTTCTCCAGCAGAATCGATTTCCCGAGGTGTGGTCGGAGCCGTCGGAGCCGTCTCGCCGCGTCCRTCCGTCCGTCCGTCCGTCCGTCCTCCCCAGGCTCCCGGGGCAGCTCAGAGCAGCCCCATCCCGAGCTGCCTCTGCCAGGGCCAGGTTACAACATGGAGTTCCCCGAGGGGTTTTCCTTCCAATCCTCCCCCCTGCTCCCGATGCATTGTCCAGATGAAAAGGAAACTTCTTCTGAGTCAGTTTTGTAAGTTCGAGCGCTCCTCCTGGGTCAGAAGAGGCCTTCCAGGACTGAAGTGGTCGGTAGAGTCTGCACAACGATGGCTTTTTATGTTGCATAGTGATCAAAACTTCCCAGATACTCCAGAGCTGCCTGGTAACAGAACTGGTATTCATCCTGCCAACAGGAAAGAGGAGAGGGGTTAGAGAGGGGAATGGATCCCTGTCCTGTGTTMCAGACAGCAAAAAGCTGAGCAGGAACCTCTGAGATTCCCAAAGAGCTGAGAATTCCTGGGAGAGGGGAGCTCCAGCTCTTCCCTTTGCATCTGTGCCTCTTGGGTAATGAACATCTCCCACTCCTCTGTCAGCCCTACAGCCCCATTCTTGTTCTCTTGCTCTCTCTAAGAATAGAGGATTTAGCCTCGGATGAAATCTCTAAGGGACTTTCTAGCAATAGAAAATTTTATTTTTTTAAGATTTATTTTGTAGTTCTTAGGTAAAATCGGCAGTGCAGCCTGGGCTTGCTGAGTGACCCCAGGTGAGGGTTTGGTAATGGTCAGCAAGGCCAGGATGGACAGGGCTTGGAGCAAACTGGGATGGTGAAGGGAGTGAAAGGAGATGGGCTGAAGATCCTTTTAAACCCAGCACATTCCAGCTCAACTCAACTCAACTCAACTCAACTCAACTCAACTCAACTCAACTCAACTCAACTCAACTCAATTCAACCCAACCCAACCCAACCCAACCCATCCCATCCCATCACAACCCAACTCAACCCAACCCAACCCAACCCATCACATCCCAGCTCAACCCAACTGAACCCATCCCAATCCAACCAATCTCATCCCATCCCATCTCAACCTAACTTCCCCAGCTCAACCCAACCCATCCCATCCCATCCCATCCCAGTTCAACTCAACCCAACTCAACCCAACCCAACCCATGGATTCCATTCCAACCCAACCCAACCCATCCCATGGATCCCAACCCATCCCATCCCATGGATCCCATCCCATCCCAACTCAACCCATTTCCCAGCTCCTGGTTCAGGACAGATCCTCCTCCTCCTCCTCACCTCTGTTTGCACCATTGCAGGTCGTTGTGTTCGCAGCATCTTCACCGTCTGGAAAATATCTACAACCCCCTCGTAGCGCATCCGCTCCAGGACGATGCTCAGGGTGATGAACACCCCGGTCCTGCCCACGCCAGCACTGCAGGAAAGGGAGGAGATGAGCAGGGAATTGTGAGCTACAATGTCCAAATGTTCCTGTAAAYGCTGAGGGTTGAGCTGTGAACGTGTTGGAAGTGGAGAGCCTGGGTCAGTCCTCCAGGGGAGATACCCAGAAATAACCAAGTGTGACCCAAAAAATGTCTGAGAAAGGGAAATTTAAAAAGTTAAAAGCATTGGGTGGTGGTAAACAGCGTTCAGTGGGAAAGTTATTCCTGATAGGTAATAYTGGGATTTAGAAATGTAAAAATTTTAAGGAGAATGGCTCATCCTGCTCTGCCCGTGGATAAGGAGGGTCAATTCTTGCCAGCAGCAAACACCGCCCAGCAGGGTTGGAGGTGTAAATTGGGTTAAGATTGGTAAAAAATACTTTCATTTTGCAGGTCAACTACTACAGATATTCTATAGGTATGCTGTATATAACACTGAGGTTCCCATGCCCTTCAGAGTACCAGCATTTCACACCTCTCCTCCAAACACAGAGGCTCAAAAGCCTCGTGGGCAGTGCCCAGCGCTAAAGGGAGATGAGTTTGAACTGAGTGTTTGAAATCTCCCTGCAAGGATGGGGTGGGAAAGAGGGGCTGATATTGGGATTTTAATTCCCATCCCCAGATGGACGAGGTTGTGTCCACGTTCCTACCTGCAGTGGACAGAGATGGGGCCGTCCTGGCCAAACTGCTCCTTGGTCTTGTGTACCTGCCCGATGAAGTCGATGAACCCTTCTCCCGATTTTGGCACACCTTGCTCTGGCCAGTCAGTGAACTGGAACTGACGAACTGTCCGTGACTGACCGTCCTGGGGGACAAAACAGGAATAGTTCAACGCCCTCAAGTTGCGACAACAAACAGAAAAGGCGGAAAAAAAACCTCCTTGTTTTTATTTTTCTGGTTTGTTAAAGGGCATGGAAAGTTGAGGCAACTGTGGTCRAGTGCACAGGTATTTATTACCCAGCCCCACGGTGATGGAGCTGCAGCTGACACTCCTGGAGCCAGCCTGTCAGCACAGATCCATATCCTGGCAGGTGCTGAGAGCTCTGACCACTGCAGACAGCACAGATGGAGTCTTCAGCGGAGGAACGTTCAAGGTGAGGTGTTGGCCTCTCCATCAATCTTCACCAAGAGTTGCCACAGTGTCAGAATTACAGCTGACAGCAAGATAAATCTTGTTCTACGAGGACTGATGAGGCATCCTCCTCCCTCAACCTTGCAAATTGAATTATCAGGTTCTGGAATACTTTGGCAGCCTCAAAAGCAGGAGGCTGTGCTGGGAGGGGGAGGGTTGTGTTTGCCACAGGAATCTGAGGAGGTATTGAAATGTTCCTYGGGATGAGAAACCATTGAATCGAAGATTATTGGAGTGGATTTGTCCCTTTGAACGTGAGTGACAATGGCACTCATTTTCTGCAGGGTGCAGRGAAAACCTTTGCAAGGTTTTTATCAGCTTTTTGGGGGAAATACTTTCTGCTTTCACCTCGAACAAGCTGCAACTAAAACCCAGAGCCAGGCACGTCTCTAACAAAGCAACTTGTGGCTGTGAGAGAGGTTTGAAACGACTTTGAATTTGTAACAGCAAATATTTCAGCACAATCTGTGTGTGTGTTCTGTTCCTCACCACAACACAGACCCCAAACCTCCCTGGGCACTGCCTGGCCACACTTTCCATGAAGAAATTCCTGCTGATGTCCAACCTGAACATCCCCTGGCACAGCCTGAGGGTGCCTCCTCCTGTCCTGGGAGCAAAGCCTGAACCCCAGGAGATGAACACCACGATCCTTGYGGGTCCTTTCYAACCAGGACATTCCACAAGCTYCCCCCTGATAACCCCAGAGGAAGCGTGGACACCTCCGCCATTTTTTGGAAGTCAAGCCCCCCAAAGCCTGAGTTTGCTGCCCATCCCTTTCCCCCCCATTTTCCCTGCCCCATCCCAGCACCTACCCTGGCGTCAGTGACCTTGAACTCCCGCAGGATGTACTGGGGCATGTTGTACTCGGCCATGGGATCCACCACGAAGTACTGGTACCGTGCCGAGCGCTCCGCAGGCCAGTATTGATGGCACTTTTCCTGCCAGGGCAYAGACAGGTCCTGTCAGCTTCACCCTGCAGGGCTCCCCTCCCAGCCCCTCCTCAGCCCCCACTTGATATTTTGGGATTTAATTTCTCTATTTCCGTATCTCTGTAACGCTGGGATTCTCCAGTGTTTAACTCCAGACTCCACAGACAGTGCTGAGCTCCTGCTCTCCCATTTTTACACAAAACAATTCCTCTGCAGCCCCAAACTCAAAGACACCTCCCTGGGCCAGGCCCCAAGAGATGGAAAGAACAGAGAATTGGGGGGAGCCAAGTTGGAGTTTTTGACTGCATTGGCTGCAGCTGCAATTGGAGGATTCAGCAAATCCCGATGTGCAAACGGACAAAAGTGAGAAAGGGTGAAAAACCCGTGAGCCATTGTCCATTGTGGGTGTGGGACTGCCCTGAATGGCCCTGAAGGTCCTTCAATAAATGGAACTGATTTAATTCTCTGAATTCTGTCCTGTTTCTGGTTTAGGTGCCACTCTCACCCGCCCCATCTCGCGCAGCTTGGTCAGCATCACCACGATGGTGGAGTTGTTCTCCCAGAGCATCCTCCAGAAATCCTCGGTGGTCTCCGCCAGCGGCCCCTGCGTGGCGATGTATGCTTTCTGCTGCCTGGGGAGACCAAAGCAAGGAGGGGTCAGTGGGGCAGCCCCACCTGGGCTTTGGGAAGCTTTGGGAAAGGCAGGGAAAGGCTGGAGACGGGGGAGAGCAAATGGGAATGCTGGGGAAGGACTGGAACAGCATGGGGTTTAAAGCGTGGGGGTGGCTTTGGTGCCARTGGGCAAAAAAGTAAAGAGCCAGTGGTGAAGCTTTCCTTAAATATCACTTCCAAGGGGTGAATCCAAGCACCAGGCATGGAGCTGCCCCTATCCCAGGGCCACAGCTGAGGCAGCATTGCTGGTGCAGCTGGACAGGAGGAAAATCTGCTCGAGGAAACCCATGCATGGAGGGTGGCAGCTCCCAGAGCTGGAGCTCCCTGGGGGAAGCTTTGGGGATTGCAGTGTCCCCAAATCACAAATCAATAAAATATTTAGAAACTTCCCAATGGCAAAACCCACCCCTGGCTGACGCTCTGCACTCAGACCTGCAGCTGAGGAAGGAGATTGGAGGAAATGCCACTTTAGGGATCAATCATTTGCAACCACAGGGGAGTGGAAATGCTCTCAGCAGGCTGTATTTGGGTCTGGGGGCGTGGGGGATCTCCCTGTGGCCCCGTGCAGTGATCAGACCATACCTATAGCCATCAATGAAGCTGGCGTTGATGTAGTCGGAGCCCTCGACGCCGCGGATGGGCTGCAGGCACACCCGCGTGCTCTCGTAGGGCATGATGTTCACCAGGCGGTTCTTGAACTTGTTGCAGGGCAGGTTGGCGCTGATGAAGCGCGAGGTGTGGGCCTTGGAGTTGGCCAAGCGCTGTGGGCAGAGAGATCCCCTCAGCTGGGCTGTTCTCCTGACCCTCTTACCCTGCCCGCCCCTTGTATGCCCTCCTGGTTTGCTTTTGGGGGTGGGCACAGAGCCCTTTCCCTAAGTAAAACTTTCAGAAAATCTTACAACTATTGTTAGAAAAGTTCAATAAATCTCCAGTTTAACAGGGAACAAATTCAGCCCCAATTTGGAATGAGCAGGGAAGACCCTGTGGTGCCAGGAACTGAAGAGGGAAGGAATTCCATCCCACAGGGGAGCAGAAAGC